GCTGCAGCACTTTGTTTACACCCGCACCTGTAGAGCAGAGGGGAAATCGCGGGCGGTGTTCCCGGCAGGGCCGGGCTGGGGGGTGGGGGGGTAGCGGTGAGGACCGGAGGACGGAGGGCGTGCCTGGCCCCCGGGAACGGTGGGGGCGGGGTGGGGGATGGGCCCGGATGCGCCCGAGGGGCCTCTAGCTGGTGCCTGCGACCCGGGGCTCGCTGACGCTCTGACCTGGAAAACCTCCTCCGGGAACCCGGTTCTCACTCCTCGTCCCCAGGTTCCCTCGTCGGACCCACTTAGGACGACGCAGGACGCACCGTGACCTTCCTCATTTTCCCTTAAGCTGCGTGCATCCACAAGTTCCTTGGAAATTTGTCTAAAACACACATGCTGCACATGAGAGGCAGCCAAGTGATGGGAAGAGGCAGAGACAGGGATCTTGTCGTCACCGTGAGACAATTGACTGTTTCTCTCCAAAGTCAAACTGGCAGGCCGTCATTCACAGAAGGAAGGAGGAACCACAGGCGCAGGACCACTCAGGGCCCCAGGCTGAGTGGCCGGCGCTCCAGGGTGGGCTGTGAGTTTGGAGCCTGGACCCCAGCAAGGCCTGCCTGAGGCGCCTGCAGGCCCAGCTCAGATTCGCTGCACTCTCCTGCCGCTGCCTGGGCAGCAGCCTGGCCACAACAGAGAGGGGGCGGCGGCGGGCCGGGCCATCTAGAATCCGTGTGTCACTGGCCCAGGCCTCCCTCGGACTCGCTGGCCGTTTGATCTGCCAAAATGGGACCGGTGAAGGTCAGAGGGAAAAGAAATGCTGTATCAGAACAGTAAAGGTTTAAAAATAAAAGGTCCCTCCCCACCTCCCTTCTTCCACCTGCTTTCAATAGCCAACTCCATGGGTGAGAATAAATTTACTGCTTGACCCCATGGCACAGGGCTGCCCACCTGTCTCCCTGCATTGGTGCCAACCACTTCCCCCTTCTCCCGTGCTCTTCAGAAGAAAGGCACTGGACTTGGAATTCGACTGGACTTGCCCCTGTGAGATCCATGGAGAGCTTTCAGAAGGCATCCGTTGATTCTGTGGCCTCAGGCTTTTGTAGGGCAGACTTCTGCTAAAAGCCTGCTTAAGGTGGCCCTGGCTGCAGGAGGACAGGGTTAGGGAGAGAAGTAGGACAGAGGAGGCTGGACAGAAGGCCTGGCCTGGGGCTTTGTTGGCAGCTTCTGCAGAAAGGCAGGAAGGAGGCTGCTAGCTCAGAGCCACTGCATTGCATAACTCTGGGGGGGGGGGGGGGCC